CCCTTCGGCCGACTGAGGGAGGGCCTCCCCCCGGCGTGGTGGAGGCTGCTGGAAATTCCCCTCGAGTGCTGGGCGCCCCACCGGGGGCAGACTGAAACCAAGCGACTGGAAATAAATCTTTCCTACCGTGTGTAACGACTCGCTGTCGGCGAACGCGGTGGAGGAGAAAAGCACAAGCAGGGGTTGATAAGGGGGTCACCACCGCGCGCCTGGTGCGCTCCTTACATGAGGTACATAAGCAACCGCCGCTGGCTGTGGTTGGACATGGCACCCTGAGCGCCCTACACCAGCAGTCCGACCCCGCACAACCGGCTTTTTGTACGTTTGTCTTACATGGGTCGTTGCGAAGCTACAGGGCTTTTTTCTTCCCACTGTGTGGAAGAAGAGACGCAAGAGTAAGGTGGTCGAGGAGGCTGCAGAAGCTCACAGAGACGTAGGCTATCCTGAGCTGGAAGGGACCCACGAGGATCATCCAGGCCTGCTCCTCACTCCACACAGGGCAACCTAAAAGTTAAACCGTGTATATATATGTATCTCCAAACACTTCTTGAACATTGACTGGCTTGGGATCATGACCCCTTCCCTGGGGAGCCCATTCCCATGCCGGACCACCCTCTGTGAGGAGCTTTTCCATAATACCCAACCCGAATTTCCCCTGAGGCAGCTTTACGCCATCCCCTCGGGTCCTGTGGCTGGACACCGGAGAAAAAAGATCAGCGCCTCCCTCTCCATGGCCCTTCCTGAGGTAATTGTGTGAGCAGGACCTCCAAAAACTTCACCACTGTTTCTCAGGAGTGGGGCAGTGCTCCCTGTGTGCTGCAGGAACAGCGCCGGCTGCGCAGGCACAGCGGCCCCCCAGGAAAGTACGGTTGAATTACAGTGAGGCAGCTAGAGAATGGAAAAATGCCTCTGTAGCTCGTAAGTGAGGTGCAACGACATACTTCTTACAAATGTAATCCAGGCTTTTCTATTCTACGTATAGACGGGTGAGCACGCGCCTTTTGTGTCCACCCTGGGCCTGCACCCCCTTGGCCAGGACGTGCAGGGGGAGCCCCAGCAGCTGGGGTGAGCAGTGGGTGTGCAGGTCTGCTGTTGGCCTTTCGGGGGTCAGAGCCAGCTGGCAAACACTATGGCTGCCCGCAAACCACTGCTTGGAACCAGACATTACTGAGGACGCGAAACACCCAGAACAAAACAAACTCTGCTTATTTGCCTTTAATCGTATATATAGCAAAGGGATGAGACCAAGGGCTGTTTCTAGAACATTCCCTGCTGCTTCTGAGCATGGTCACAGACACTTACACTGTAGTTTCACAACGATTTCAGCCTGACAGAACTTGGCACAGCCATTGAAAAGTATGGTGCCAGTCTCCTCTCCGCCTTCAGCTGCTGCTGCTGCTTTTTTCACGTCAGTAGTGTTGAGTGTGTGTTTGATTGGGGAACTGGTGCTGCTGAAGACTGGCGTGCCAAAGAAAATCACCAGGCGAATGCCAGAAGTGACAGTAGCAAAGTGTATGGGAAAAAGCCGTGAAATGTTTGGGGAGAATGGGACCACTTGTTGCAGTACCTGCACCAAGGTAGTACGGCTTAAAATATTACAGGACTAAAGCATTACCTGCCTGCAGCATCCCTGTACATTTTTTTCAGCCATGCTTCTTCTCTTTGAAGATTTATTTTAACTCATTTCTTTCATGTACAACTTCCCCCTTTCCTCAGAAAACCACTTGCAACCTCTTTCTTAGAAGAAAAAAAAATGCAACTGGAAAAGAATTAACTTGGGAGCAGGGCAAATGCAAGGGTAAGCCTTTATGTGTGTCATCCTAATGGCACTCCAAAAATGTGCACTGAAATTAATATTTCCTTTTTGGGAGCAGAACACTGTGTGCCTTGTACGGATTTGGAAGTGTTTTGCTCCCCCCGCCCCTCAACTCATCAATGCCACTGTAAAATGATCTGGCTATCTTGGAATGAGGGTTTTATTCCTGTGCATGGTTTTAGGACCTGATCTCCTTTCACATGCACACTCAGCAGTTTAAAACAGACTCAAGAGAATTCTTTATAAACTTGTGACTTGGCACGTGAAGTTTGGGCTGGCAGTCCATTAATGCTTTAAAAGCAAGTGTTTTTTTTCATCCTACCTAAGCATATATAATTTAAGATAGCTTCAAGTATTCTTTTTTGTTTTGTCATATAATTTGAACAATTTGAGTTTTTTAAGATACAGCTTTATGTTTAATAAATATTAGCTGTATGTTCTGTGTGTTTATTATATTACTAAGTAGAATATATTAATAATATATGCAATATATATTTTTATATTATTAACTACAACTATATAAACAGCTTTATAGTTAAGAAGTCTGCTTCGGTAAGTAGGCTAATTCTGCCGCCTTCCAGGTTCTGATTCGCATCCTTCCCCAATGTATCTTGTGTCATTTTTCTGAGCATGCATCGCTTTGCATTAATTTGCAAAAACACAGACCGCACACACTTTCACAAAATCCCCATCACAGACTCTCTAGTGGCTTACCTTTTCAGTTACTGTCGGGTAATGTGAAGCCAGATAACTTGATAATACTTCCTGAAAGGGATGAAATAAAGTTATGTAGAGGCTATTGCATGTCAAGTAACATGCAAACTCTATTGTCAATATTTTACAGCTCATGCAGGATACATACCTCATTTGCCTTATTTGGGTTACTACTCATTTAGATTTCTGCAGTGCTTGTAAGATTTAAAACAAATCTTGAAATAGCCTTAGTTTTGTTTATACCATGTTAGAAAGATAAGTATAGTTGGACTAAATTTTTGGGGGGAACATCTAAACCACTCACAAGGAAGATGTTAGGGAAAATGCATTGTTTTGCCCCCTTTAAGCAAAAATTCTCATAATCTTTTCTTTTTTTGGGGGGGGTGTGTGTAAAATTTTGGTGCCTCCACACATTGGACTAGGAATATGAGGTTTAAAAGGAAGGCCACTTGGGCAGAGGATATCTGTTTTGCTTTCTTTGTGGTAATCTGCAAAATTTTTTTATGTCATAAGTCTTTGTAAAATCTCATTACTTGTCTTAAAATTTGTCATTGAAATTCTTAGATATATCTATACTGAGGAGATTCAGCCTCTCACAGCTTACGATATGACCGTATATATATCGTGTTCCCAACTGATTCAAGGGTGGTCTGTCGAGGACAGCAGGGGCTGTGAAATTTTACTGAAAGTACGTAGAATATTTCATTTGGGCTTTGTGTGGCGACGAGCAACGCCAAGAGGCATGATGAAGAGGAAGGAGTCTGGCTCAAATACAAGGAAAGCTGTAAATATCAAATGTGAGAAAGGAGAAGAAATTCCGGGAAGGGGAGAAAGAGAGTGCGAAGCGGGAACTAACAAGCAGATGTCTGGGAAGATAGCGATGGGGGGAAGAAATCTTGCAGCAGGAGTTGGAGGTGAAGGAAAGTGTGTAACTAGGTCAAGAACTGCCATGTTAATGAGGAATATAGGAGCAAAAAGGAGTAATGCACTCAAAAAACGAGGATAAGAGCAGAAGTTGGGTGGGAGGAGAACAGATTTGTTTTATTAAGTTAGTGTAATCAATAGAAAAATAGAAAATGCCTTTCCACATGGCATGTTTTCTTCTCTGGGGCGGCAGCAGTTTGCTCACTTTATGGATATTAAGGGTTTTTTTAAGAGGTGCTAAATTTGAAAGAAGTCTGGTATATTCACACAGCCATATTTTCATTCAGGCTGCTGGACACAGAGGAGGAGTAAAGTCTAAGCCTAAATCTAATGCAGAAGTTTGGTGCAAGGCCAGATCCAGACAAAACACACAGCCTGGATTTGCTTATGCAGGAGAGTGGTTACATCTGGGCATATCTAGGGACCCTGACTTTTGAGCCGGAAAAGAAGGAGAGACCTGTAAGCAAGCTGGGGGAGATCCACAGAGTGTCTGCACTCTTGTCCCTGTGAATCGCCTCCAGCTTGCTTAAAGGACTTGTTTACAGAGGCATTACAAAAGAACTGGGAGGGAAAAAAAAGCCATATTAAAATTTCCTTTTAAAATGTTCTTAACAAATGTAGACAGGAATGTAAATTCACACAGATTCATGTTTTGCAACCGAGACTTTTGATCCAATAATAGGTAACTTAATATTTATTGTCATGTGGAGTTAGAGCTTCAGATAGGAATATAATCCCAGTTTAATTAAATCAATATAAATATTTAAATGGGTCCTTTGTAGTTTAATGAGTTTTGGGCCCAGTAGTGCTACATGTTGCATAAAATGCTGGTTGAGAAACTACCTCTAAAATCTACATCTACCTCGTAATTTATTTGTAATACTGTACATTAGGTATCTGATAGTAATCATAAACTGAAGTTGAGAAGCAGAAGAATGTGATGCTCCCTGGGAAATGAGAAGTAGCAGCAAAAGGAAAACAGGTAGAAGACAGA